CTCTATAGGATAATTATTGGATCAACAAGAAGGTCTATGGTTTCTGAAGGTTCCTGAAACCTAGCTCTTTGCTGAAGGCTAGCTGACCTTTCTAATATGGGCAGCAGTACTGTAGAATAAGCACACTGGGCTGCCAAGCACAGGCTGATGGTCCAAACCTACCAGTCACTCCTTGGGAATCGGGTCTCTACGAGTAGGGACAGACTCATAAAAAACAGGCACTTAACAATAGCAGTAACAAATTTACAAGATATACTGACATTGATGTTCTAGGGACCATGCTTTGAAAATACTTTCTTTTCTATCTTTTAAAGGGTGGTTATGAATTGGGCCGCAAACCTCCAGGTCAGCAGTTCAAAATTACCAGCTATTCTGCGGGAGAAAGATGAGACGTTCTGCTCCCGTAAAGATTTACAGCCTCGGAAACTCTGTACAGGGTCGCTATGAGTTGGAACTGACTCCATGGCACATAGCCACCACCAACACCACCACCACTCTAAAGCCTCTGATTAGAATCGCCTGCACTGTCTTATGGTGGTGGTACTTATATACAATCCTGAATAGGGTTTCTGAAACTGCTTATCTTTATGGGAGCAGAAAGCCTCATGTTTCTCCTGAGGATTAGCTGGTGGATTCAAACTACTGACCTGGTAGAATAACCCACTGTGCCACCAAGCCTTCTTCTGTGCTGCCTACTAATATGAATATTTGTAAAACCTGTGCTGAGGCCTGAGTCAGGGGCCTGCACATCTCTGGAACACAGTATTCCACAAGCTGTGCAGATGCGCACTGTCGTCCTAACACCAGTGAAAAGAAAGGTCAGAAGTTATTGTTAGCTGAGAAGAACATAGATCAAATGTCCTCACAAACATTATCAACTTTACATCCGTACTTAGTCTGTAGTAGACCTTGGCGACACAGTACTTAAGTGTTGGACTGTTAACTGCAAGGTAGGTGGTACAAACTCACGAGCCACTTTACTCGACAACACTTAATAACAACTCCTGTAAAGTTTTACAGCCTTAGAAATTATACAGAGCAGTTTTACTGTCCTCAAAGATAGCTGTGAGATTGAATCGACTTCATGTTAGTGGGTTTAGTTGGTCTTAGGTGCTTTATACATAGTAAAAAAACAGAACCAAAACTCAATTGCCATTGAATTGATCCCAACTCAGGCAAACGTATGTGCGTCAGAGTAAATTTGTGCTAACTACAGTTTTTAGTAACTGATTTTTTCCAGAAGAAATCATTAGATATTTGTTCTAAGGAGTCTTTTGGTAGAATTGAACCTCCAACCTTCAGGTTAGCAGCGGAATGCTTTAACCATTTGTGTCTCCCTGGAACTTTGTTATACATAATAGTTCAGTAAATTAATTACCATGAATGAATGCAAGCATTTAGTTGCTACTGTTTGTTCCCAGAATCCATTGTTTTTTTTATTATAGAAGATATCTGCATTTTATCTGCTTGCTTACTTGACTGCCTCTATTCCAGACAGTTCTGTTTTCACTCTTCTATGTCTGCAGTGCCAAAACCAATATCTGGTATATAATAGATGTAGCATCAGAATTTCTTTGATTAAATGTTTATAGATGTTGACTGTAGAATATCTCTTAGGGTAAGCCTGAAAAAGCAGTGTCATGAGTTGTTAATTTCCCTTATTACTTTGTGTGTGTGTGTGTATAGAGGGGGTGAGGGATGGAAGGAGTCTGGATATGGCTCTGTGGATCAATGCACTGAACTGCGTTTGAAATGCAA